TGTGTTCTAATGTAATTTTATTTGTATCAAATATATATTTGCTTATTTAGAACATATTAATATCCCAATTTTTTTATATCGAGAAAAGAAACATAATTTTTAAAATTATAATAGGTTTAAAATTGATAAATATAAATATATGATTAAAAAAAATTAAAATAAAATAAGAAAAAGAATATGCTAGGAATATTCATTTTTGTATGTTAGAAAATGAAGTTCGATTGGAGTCAAGTTACTGCATTTTGGAGTTTTACTGTATTTTGGAGTGAAAAATGAGTTTTTCGGTTGGAGATGCCCTTATAAAAATCAAGTTTTCCGTCCTTGCTACGATTTCAATTCCTGTACATGAAAACCTAATTAGTATTAGTTTCACATACTCTCCATGGTACAGCTCTAGTGTTAGAGTGGAGAGTTCGCGACTGTCGGCTGGGCGAACTTTCTCTGTATTGTTGCCTAATCAGTATGGCTTCATGGCTTCAATTTTATTATCTCACGAAGTAAACTGCAATCTGTATCGTTGCCTAATCAGTATGGCTTCATGTAATTAACTATATTTTCTTGCATTTAGTGATCATCAGTTCATCACATTACTAATTGTTTTTTTAATATTTATCAACAGTATGTAATCAAATTTACATGAAAGTCAATCAATTGCATAAAATATTATTTTATTTTTTGTTTAAAAATCGGAGGCAGGTAATTTGACTGCGAATATGGATGAATTTAATTTTGTGAAGATGGAGCACCAGTGTGAAGTTAATTACATTTGAAATATCGGAGGCAGGTAATTTGACTGCGAATATGGTTATGTTGCTGCGGTGCTCAAATGGCCCTTGTTGGATAATGAAAATGTTCCCTAGGCCTCACACACCCCCCTTTGTAATTTGCAGCAATGGTTGCCAGTAAGACCTGTTGATCAACATCTACATCAGATTAAGTTAAATTGGTTTTGAGTAAAAAATTTTGTAGTATTTTGATATATAAACTTACAAAAGATTTGATAAAATTAATTAATTTTATTTAAAAAGTAGTTGATTATTATATTTATCTAAATGTATAAAAGGGTATCAAGGTGATTTGTTGTCATACAGCAGCAGCACAGCAACTCGACAATTATGCCACCCAAACAAAATTTATTGATTTTTGTACAACAACTTTAGAAAGCAGCTTTCTGGACAACAACTTCACAACCTGCTTTACCGCAGCCGTCCCAAATGAAGCCTTAATTTCGTGATAGTCATTTGTCCTTCAACATCAAGATTCTAAACCTATTATAGCTGTGTTTATTCAGTTTTATGGAGGAAGAGCAAGCATTAATGATACCTGGCCTCCCGTACGACATTGCCATACTCTGCATCGCCAAAGTGCCTCACCGTTTCCTCCCCGGACTCTGGCTGATCTATCGGCGTTGGCGTGATTTAGTGACAGATCATTTATTCCTCCGTTACCATGAGAGAATTGGCTCGGCGGAGCATCTTATTTTTATCGTCCAAGCCCTGGGCGGTACCGCCGCCAATCTCAGTCTGTCGGTTAAGGCCTTATCCGTCTATATCGCCACGGACAATTCATGGCACCGCCTCACCTCGCCAAAGCCGATTCCAATGTTCGCTCATTGCGTTGCCGTCGAAAAGAGGCTGATCCTTGTCGGCGGATGGGATCCCGTGCGGCTCTATCCGATGCCAGATGTGTGGATTGTAGATCTCATCACCGGGGAGTGGAGAAAGGGCCGGCCGATGTCAACCGCACGATCTTTCTTCGCTTGCGCTGCAGTTGGCGGGAGGGTTTACGTCGCTGGAGGGCACGACGAGATGAAGAATGCGCTGCGGACGGCAGAGATTTACGATGTGGAGGCGGATGAGTGGGAGGCGATGCCGGCGATGGCGGAGGAAAGAGACGAGAGTCAAGGAGTGGAAATCAGGAGCAGATTCTGGGTGATAAGTGGATATCGTACGCAAACGCAAGGGCAGTTTACTGATTCAGCCGAGTGGTACGATCCGGAGAAGGGTGTTTGGCTGACTGAGGAAGGGGTGTGCTCGGAGGAATCGGGCTCATCAGCCTGCTTCGCGGGAGGCGACGGGTTGTGGTGTGTGGGGAGGATAGGGGCAAGGGAATATAGGGAAGGAAATGGGTGGAACCCGGTCGCTCAAGCAGCAGAGGGGATGAAGGGTACTTCATGCATGGCATGCAACCATGGGAGGCGGCAAGATTTTCGTGATGGGGGCCGCCAGAGACGGTGGAGGCGCTGCCAGTGGCAGAGAAGGTTATGGAAGATGGATTTTGGACATTGGAGCAGGGAAGTGGATAAGGGTTGAGACGTCGGTGAAGTTTTCAGGGTTCGCGTACTCCGCTGCTGCCGTTCGTGTTTGAGTCTGTTTTAATGTATTGGTAATCAATATTATTACTTAATTAATTAAGATAATGATGCATCATTAGTACACTAAAGTTATACTGACTGTTACGGGCTTCCGAAGCCTACGCATTTGTACGCAATGCTCATCTTGGTCTGGTGGTTGAGAGCTTAGGCTTCAACCAAGATGTCTAAGATTCGAATTTTTGTGTATGTATTATGTGTGCGAATTTATCTTAAATGACCTAAATGTCCCAAAAAAAAAAAGACTACACATTGTATAGTTTTCATATTAAAAAAGTTATAATATGTGTTTATCCCTTTATCTTTTCTTTTCCAGTGGTTTTTTTTCTTATAAATGGAATGGTAATTATTAATTTTTAAAATTTTCTAATTTCTAATACATATAAAATAGCAATTTGAATTATATAATTTTTTGTATGGGCGCACAAATTAATATTAGCCATTAATTACTCTCGAATTAAAATTTTTATTCCGTGTAATCATAGATCATGAGTCATATTTTTAATGAAAAATTATAAAAATACATCTAAAATCATATACATTCACATTGAAAAAGAATACATGTATCACTCTCTATCTTATTATTTATCAAAAAATTAATATTTCTCTGACGATTATTAATAATTGAATTCAAAAAAAAAAATACTTACATTTATTTTATTTGAATTAATTAAATTAATTCTTAATTTTAAACTATAATTAAATTAATTAAATTTAAATTAGTATAAGGTCATAATATACCAAATTTTAAATTAATTGTTTATTAATTCTAAATTATTTTTATTAGAGCGGAGTATGGTCGACAATTACCTGCTTCCTGCAAGCCTCGCAGGCGCGAACGCGGCTGCCGACTGGCCCCTAGTGGAGCGGACACGGACGGAGTGACGCAGACAGACGTCACGAAGTGGAGCGGACACAGATGCGATGGACGGAGCTGCTGGTGGACATGCGGAGTGACACAGACGGACTTGACTCAACGCTGCGCAGACGCGTTTGCCGATTGGCCCGGACTGGCGGCGTGTGAGTTGACCGCGATATACAGACGCGAGAATCGAAAATGCGGGATTACAAAATATAAACGGGTCAATTCGGGTCAACCCGCGGGTTTCCGGGTCGAACCCGAACCCGACCCATTTGTTAAACGGGTAAAAAATCTGAAGCCGGACCCAACCCGTTTCACAAAAGGGTTGACCCAAACCCAGATTTTTTCAGGTCGGGACCGGGTCGGGTTTCGGGTCGGGTCAAAAATTGACACCCCTAGGGTGGGGAGAGATAAAGAAGAGAGAGAGAGAGAGAGAGAGCATGCTGAAGCCAAAGAAAAAAAAAATGAGGCGAAGGCGGCGGCGGAGGCGGAGCGGAGAGGATTATTTGTTTTAAAAATTTATTTAATCTTATATATATTAATATAATTTAAAATAAGCTGATTTTTTATTATTGGGCCAGTGGGGGGAATTTTTATTGGGTGCGGACCTGGACGTAACTCTATGTCCGGAGTCTAATAAAATCCTCACACTTGTCATGTACACATGAATATTAATTTATGATTAGTTTTTTTTATTATTTTCTTGCCAGCCGATCGATCCAACCCAAAATATTTCTATTCAAATTTAGGATTTTAAAATTGATGCTCTTTTTTTAAAATGAACTACCACAAAACATCTATTTTTTTTAGGATTTCCGCTCAAAAAATATTTCACAGCTACTGAGAAAGAAGAAACGAGGAAAGCAGGTGAAGATGAAGATTGGTTTGCAGGAGAAAAAGCCAATGAAGATGACGCTATGCAAACATTCAGGAGGAGGAAGAGGAATAGTTGAAGTTGAAAGAAGAACAAGTTGCATGAATGACAGTTTGTTTGTATATTTAGGGAATATGTTGAGGATTCAAGCTGTCCCGTGGCGAGGTTTAACTAAGAATTATTTTAAAGTACTGTTTGTTTTCAAAGTTTTATTGTAAGAGTTATTTTGAAGTACTATTTATTTTCAAAGTTTATAAGTTGTTTGTACTCGATGATTTGCAATAGTAAAAGCGTACTGTTTATATGCCCTAGAGGGAGAACACATGCTTTTGTAATATTTCTGTTTTAAAAAGCATTCTCAGTTTTTTCACAAATATGTGTTACAAAAATTTTAAAGCTTTCTCTGCTTATTTATATGTTGTGTACCAATCATGTTGACTCAGATATAAGAAACAAACATATTGATTCAAATGAAAGAAATTATATTAAGAAATACATAATTATTTAGAAATATTGAGTAGTACCAAGCAATATTTATTAAGAAATACTGGGAGGTACCGAGAAGTGCCAAGCGGTATCGAGTATTGATACCGAGCGGTACCGAGCATTGGTACTGAGAGTTCATCGGTATAAACATTGACTTGATATCAAATCATATTGAATAATTAATTTAGTTGATTTATTTAATTGATTTCGCAATAGAATTACTTATTTTTCTAGTCTTTTTACTTGCATGTCGATTTTGATTTTGCCTGGAGTACGATTGTAGGCTCATAAGGACCAGTCCAAAATTTTTCTACATTAATTAAAGTTAAAATTTTTAAGATAAGATAAAGACTGTAATGGTCTTAAGAAGTAAGTGCGGGACCGCCGAGAGTTCTCATGCATAATTGCTGCATTTTCTTTTCATTTGCTAGGCACCTCCCCGCCTGAGGGTTTTGACATACCACCTGGCCTATGAGGGTACAGATCTATCCAAGGGGAATCTGTGCATCTTTAGGATATTTTTAAGCCTTTTTAAAACTTCTTAATCTCAAATTTAAGCATTTAATCGAATCGACTAGCATGCATTGCATTATCAACAAATTAAATCGAGTCTAAATCTTTATTTGTAATTATTTAGACATTAAATACCCTGCATAAGTTAAAGGGGTCAATTAAGGGTCTATTCTATATATCGGCCATATTCTCAAAACTTATCTTAAACAACGTCCCCAGCACCTTACATTAAAAGACCAGACTCGTGATTTTTAAAGCACTTAGGTGGTTTAGCTGGCTCCCTAATCCAGGTCAGGTTAAGTCTATATTTGTATTGCATTAGCTAGGTTCGGATTTCTAATTTTAAGTACCCAATTTAGATTTAAGTTCTGAGGCAAGCTCGGCTATAAGACCTCAACCCCTGGGAATCTAATCCCAGCTTTCTAATAAAATTGACCACTTAAATTTAAAAATCTTTCAATCAAATACAAGCCCAACATTTAGGATAGACTGGGACACTTCTGAATTATTTTAGAATTCCAGGTGCGTCCTACCCTTTTTCCTTTGACTCAAGAAATAAGTGCTCAAATTTGATAAAAAAATAAAAAAATAATAAAAAAGTGCTCAAATTTGATCCAATCCCACTTGAATTTCCAACCCTTAACCTTCTTTGATATCTATCTTTGAAAATCTTAAATAAATTTTCTACTGTTATTTTAATCGAGAGTATTCGTAGGAGATTCTAGTTTCCTACGATGTAATTAACCACGAGGGCTTGCACTCGTAGGAGATTGAGTAACCCATACAAGATTTTCAAAAATTAAATTTTCAAAACCCTCAATTAATTCTCTTTGAGAAATTTAAAAAAAAATGATGATCGTTATTGTCATATTCAAATAATCGATAATAGGCAATATCATCTTTCTTTGGGAAGATATATTGCTTTATTATCATTACTTTGATTATGAAATTAACGATCTCATATCCGGATCATTATAGTCAAACACTTGATTAAATTCAATTTTGACCCTCCGGGGTTAGATGTGATTCTTTCTTGAGTTTACCTATGATAATTAGAATAAAATTCAAAGTTCTAAAATTTAAACCCATTAGAGAATGATATATTCGCCTCCCGATGCGATATACTATTCATAATGACGTGTTCAATTTCAAAACTATAATTCTATAAATTCAACTTTCCCAAAGAAAATTAAACTTTTTCAAAACCATATTTTCAATCAAACAATGTCATGCTTGTAAATATAGAGAAAATCCAAGGCACTCCATCTAATGACTTGCATTAATTATTTAGATCATTAATCATTTCTTTAGCGTTTAAGTGTCTTAAGAATGTTAAAATTAAGTTATCTTGGGCTTGTTGGATTCTCTTCATTGGACTAGTCGATTTGATTATAAACATGCCAAATTTAGAGATTATTTGGTCATCCAATTATAAGCATTACCAACTCCATCCAAGCTCATGCAATCCCATGCACATTTACAAGACTATGCGTATCACGTGTGGCTAAATCATAACCGTCCAAAGCATAACCAATGGTAAGGATGCTCAGTAAGACATCTTCGTAGTAAGTGGATAAAGAATTAATAGCAGGAGCCAAAAAAGGAAGTTTGAAGGGGAAATGCATTAATGGGATCGAAATGTATTTCATGGAAGCTTTTGAGGAAAAAGAATGCTACCTCTGTCTCTCTCATTAAGACTTCCAAACTATATTTGGACCGTGGGCCTCCACGTCAATAATTACTTTCTTTGATGGGCTTGAGTCCATTTCATTGAATCTAAATTTGATGGGCTCTTCTTTGACTCTGTATGAACACATTTAAGCCACACTGAACCTTTTAAAGTTTGCGATATCCACCACGGCAACAATATTTATAACAACTGACAAATATTACGTTCGAAGTAGATCAAATGAGGAGGAATTAATCCAGTGAACGTACGCTCCTCTACGTTCGGTTTAGGCAAAAAAGCGTCTGTGTACCGAGTATAACTCGGTACTCGGTACAGACGCTTTTTTTTTGCCTAAACCGAACGTGGAGGAGCGTACGTTCACTGGATAAAATAAAAGTTCATTGAGGAGATCATATTCATAGCTATGAGGCCCCCTCCCCTTCTATAAAACCACCCGAAGAAGAAGAAGAAAAAAAAATCTAATTTTTCCTCCGCCATGGATTTCCAAACCAAAGCCATGGAATCCATCAAGAAATATCTGGGCATCGCCGCCACCGCCATGCTCGCCCGCACCATCATCAACGAATACCTCCCCAACGAACTTCGCTTCCTCATCCACTCCGCCTTCAACAAGCTCTTCGGCCGCTTCTCCACCAATCAAACCATCCTCATCCATAAAACCGAAGGCCTAACCTCCAACAAACTCTACGAAGCATCAAGCATTTACCTTTGCACCCGAATTTCCCCCAACATGCGCCGATTCAGAGTTAGTAAGAGTGACAACAATAACAACATAACTCTCTCGCTCGTCGACGGCGAAGAGCTCATCGACGCCTTCCAAGGGATTAAGTACAAATGGAAGTTGATAAGCAAGCAGAAGAATCAAAGTGCGAATCGCGATGGGGATTTCAGTTTATCCAGTGAAGTCCGCTACGAGCTCACCTTCCATAAGAAATATAATTACGTTACGTTGGATTCATACCTTCCTCATATTCTGGAAAAGGCGAAGGAGATCAAATCAGCTGATAGAATGTTGAAGCTTTACATGAATGAGCATGACGGCTGGAAGCAAATTGACCTGCAGCATCCAGCAACATTCGAGACGCTGGCAATGGAAGCAGACCTCAAGAAAACAATTCTTGAAGATTTAACGAGATTTGTTGAGAGGAAAGAGTATTATAAAAAGATCGGAAAGGCGTGGAAACGTGGGTACCTACTTTTCGGACCTCCTGGAACGGGCAAATCGACCTTTATTTCCGCCATGGCGAATTACCTCAGATATGATATCTATGATTTGAACCTTATGGAGGTTCGAAAGAACTCTGGGCTTAAGAGGCTGCTTGTTGGAATGAAGAACAAATCAATGCTTGTTATAGAAGATATTGACTGTGCCATTGATTTTAAGAACAGGGATAATGATAAAAAGAATCAAAGCAACCAGTCTCATAATGATGAGATAAGCCTTTCTGGATTGCTGAACTTCATTGATGGGCTGTGGTCGACAAGCGGCGAGGAGAGGATCGTCGTGTTTACAACTAATTTTAAGGAAAAGCTTGATCCTGCATTGCTGAGACCTGGAAGGATGGATATGCATATACATATGGGTTACTGTGGGCCAAATAGTTTCAGGATTTTAGTATCTAATTACCATGCCATTGATGAGCATCCCATGTTTGAGGAGATTGAAGGGTTGTTGAAAGAGGTGGAGGCCACGCCGGCTGAAGTTGCAGAGCAGTTGCTGAGAAGTGATAATGTTGATGTTGCTTTGGATGGTCTGATACAGTTGCTAGTGGAGAAGAAGGAAGAAGAAGGATTGGAGAGCAGTGCAGAGGATCATGAAACTGATCAAGTAGTTGTTGGAGCTGTTAATTGCTGAGAGGATGACTAAATCTCTCTAATATATCTTTTCCTTGCATTGATTTTCTGCTAAATCTATTGTAATATTATACTTTGATGCTAATGAAATGGTTATCATTTTCAGCTTAAAATAATTTAAAAATTGGATTTTGATTGCCTGCATTTGAAAATCCTGATACCAAAATCGTACCGAAAGCCTCATGTGGTGACCATTACATCATCTCTTATCAATGCCGAAGCTCTAGTTACTCCAAATAAATTCTAAATAATTAAAGGAAAGGGATAGAATCTTTAACAATAACTAAGTTCATTATAGAACGAAACATCCTTAACAAAAGAATTTTTAAATAATATATATTTTTTATTTTCATGCTATATAAGTTATCTGCTATTTATTTAAGTTGTACTATTTGATATTTTGTATATATCTTTATGTGCATTTGCAACGACTAATAATAATAAAAAAAGCACTAGTATAATTTAATAAATTTTTTCAATTTATTTCTTTTAATTAACATACATTAGTTTTTATTTTAAAATATTAAAATTTATAATGCCTTGTTCAATGCATATAAGTTTATATGTATATAAGATAAAAAAGCATCTAAGAGAAGAGAAACAAGTTTGCAATGGCAACTAATTATTTCTTTGGGCTTTAAGTCCATTTGTTTTCTAATAGCTGGTACAATGAAGGAGCTGATAAATATAGAAGTGCATTATCTATGACTCGTGGATAGAATTGGAGCAGTAAATATATAATCACTTCTTAATATGGAAATCTTCTACGACCCTCCTAGACGTTTGCTTGCACGAGCATGCAAACACTATAAACACGGTCTATAAGGGTTGTTTATTGTACACATGATACTATCAACTTCTGCTTATTTGATATTAATATTACAAATTTCATATTATTTAATGTTGATTAGCCACGTAATGCAAACTGTAGTTATGTCTTAGTTGTGAAACACGTCAAATTTATTGCACTGCATGATGGGTCATATCCAAGTGCTCAAGGACTGATGACTTCAGATGTTTTAGATTAGTATTTGTCAGGACTTTTATTAGACGAGTTTGACCTCTGATATGCATAGGTGAAAACTGTTCATTCGAACCCAATTGTCTGTTATGCATGAGCATAATCGAAGCCAAATGTCTACTCTTCTTTCTTAGTACAAGAGTGAGACCATAAGAAGCATCAACATACAAGTTATTAAAATTATTGAAAATTGTAAAAATAACCTATTATTATCCTGAATTAATTTAATTAAACATATTCAACATGTGAAAAAAAAAACATCAATAATAAATGTATGAATTTTTTACATAACATATTAATATATAAATTAATATTGTTTTCAAGAAATAAAATATCACTTACTGGATAATAATGATAATATATATATTTAATTAACTCATGTTAATAAATGTATTATAAAAGAAAATATTACAAAGACATTTTACAATTAAAATGAGTTTTCAATTAAAATTTTTAAAATAACAAATTAGGGAAAACAACATTTTTTACAGGTAATTCCTTAAATATTACGCAAAACTAACTGAATATTTCCAACATTAAAAATATTTCTTCTCAGTTCTTGGAGATAAGTAAACTATAGAGATATCCAAAAAACATATGAATTTTCTCAAATCTACAATAAAAAAAACTCCAACATATTCCAAAAAAAAATAGCTATAACTTAAAATAAATTTAAAAAATAATCAACTAAATACAGAAAAAAGCATCTATAATTCAAACAATCTTTACAATAATAACACCAAAAAATCTACGACAAATTTCAAACAAAAAACCTAGGAAAAAAATTACTCACAAATAACTGATTCGGCAACAACTATCTCTTTCTAAGCTTCGTTTGGGACAGCTTTCTTACAGCTAATTCAAGCAGTTTTTTAGTACAAAATTTTTAATTTTTTACTAGAGAGCCGCTTCAAGAAGCAATAAGAAAGTCGTCCCAAACGAAGCCTAAATACAGCTGACAAAATCCAAAGAGATCTCGGAGCGGAGGCAAGTTCGGAGTGATTGCTGTGAAAAACTTTGGAGAAATGAGAGGCAAAACAAGATTACTATATATCCAATATTCTCTTTTAGGCTTCGTCTGAGATGACTTTTTTACTGTTTTTTAAGGCATTTTTCTATTACAAAAATTTTTAAAAACTGCTTAAAGAAGCAATAAAAAAGCTGCCCAATCCCATCTTACTCTTGGTGATTATGCCTGAAATTATTATTTTTTCATGATGTTTAGGCTAATAATAATTATTAGCGTGGCAATTTATAAAATTTGTCCCCATATATGCTCATCCAATCCACAACCATTTACAAAACTATGCGTACTAATAATAAATCAGGCTTTCGCAGCTCTTTTTATACCATATAGCAGTGGTTTAAACTCCTGTTAAATTATTTGTAGCGGTTTAAAATCTGCTACACAACCGCCGTATCTGCATTCGCTAGGAAGGCTTTAGCAGCGGTTTTAAAACTGCTGCTGTAGGGGAGCTTTCGCAGTGCTTTTTAGCAGGTGTTAAAACATCTGATATATCATAGTTCACTAAAATGAATCCACGTGTGGCTAAATCATGACCGTCCAAAGCATAACGAGAGGTAAGGATGCTGAATAAGACATTTTCGTGGTAAGTAAGCGTTAATAGCAGTAGCCAAATTGGAATTTTGAAGGTGAAATCTATTTCTTGGAATCTCTCGGAAAAAGAATGCTACCACTGTCTCTAGCATTAAGATTTTGGGACTATATTGGGCCGTGGGCCACCACGTGAATTATAATTGCCTTGGATGGGCTTGAGTCCATTTCATGATTCTAATTTCGATTCTCTCTTCTTTGACTCTATATGAGCACATAAAAGCTACGGCAAACTTTTAAAGAAAGAGTATCCACCACGGCATCAGCATTTGTATCAAATAACAAAAATAAATGCTAAATTCTTAACTTAGATTTTATTTGGGGCGTCTTTCTTTCTGCTTCTTAAAACAGTTTTTAAAAAAAAGAAATCCCTGACATCAATATTTATAGAAAATGATTAAAATAAATACTAAGTCCTAGCTTAACCCTCGTTTGGAACGGCTTTCTTACTGCTGCTTAAATCAGCTTTCAATACAAAAATTTATTTTTTGTACTAAAAAGCTATTTTATGAAGCAGTAATAAAGCCATCCCAAACAAAACCTTAAAAAATTCTTAAATAGAATAAAACTAAACTACTAAGGCTAATATTTCGATTTGACTATGCACGACGAAAATGGAAAATGGATGTATAAATAAAGTAGAGAGTATGAATCTATTTATAATGTTTTTTTTTTTTAGAATGACATCTCTAACCAAAATCTATAAAACACTCTATTGATGACCTATTTTTAATTCTCTTGATCATACATCAATCTTTCAATATTTTAAATTTTCTAATGATATTGGAATAAATTTATTTTGAGAAATGTTGGATTTATATAATTTATAACAACACTTGATTTAGTTATTGGTCCTCCAATATTGTCCTTACGGTGGAAGCATTAGGTTTGTCCACTAGGATTGACTCCTCCAATGACTTAGGCTTCGTTTGGGATGACTTTTTTACTGCTTTCTAAAATTGAGTTTTAGTACAAAATTCTTTATTTTTGTACTAAAACTTCGTCTTAGAAAGCAATAAAAAAGCCGTCCCAAACGAAGCCTTAATCACAAAAAAGCTAGGTTATCCGATGTGAGGTTTTATAGTCAATTGTCCATCGATTTAGATTATCTGATGTTTCCTTTTTGTAATTTTCATTGTATTTCATCATTTTGAGATTTTTATTGAAATTTAGTCTTCGTTTGGGACGGCTTTTTTATTGCTTTCTAAAACGGAGTTTTAATAAAAAAATAAAAAAATTTGTACTAAAACGGAGTTTTAGAAAGCAATAAAAAGCCGTCCCAAACGAAGCCTTAGTCTAGTTTTGTGCCAAAAAATTTTGTGGTAGTTGAGTCAGAATTATAATCTCTTAGCATTATATAAGATTCCAACAAACAAAAAGATAAATTGGACGAGGTCGGAGATTTTTAATGTGGAAAACTTAGAAAATGAAAAAAAAAAATCATCAGGTCTGACCTAATTATAAAAATCCATTATATTAGTATATGATATACAAAAAACTTTTCCTTTCACACAAGTGTGGAAATTTGATTACAAAATTTAAATATCTTTATATGGATTACAAAAATCCAACAATGGGATTATATCTTTATAGGAAACTAGAAAATAGGATGGTGATCGTCATTGGTGGTTAGTGATGATAGTTAGAAAACACTTCAGAGCATTTTAGTTCACTTAGCTTTTACACTCTCCTCATGTGAAGAATGTGTCTCTATTTATAGACATTTTGAGATGGACATTTTGATAATTTGATAAAAATCCAAAACACTCCATCGTATAGTTCATATTGATTTCATTGATGATCATGAAGTGTTATTCAGCATTTAAGTGCCTTAGTGATGCCAGAATTGAATGCTCTTAAGCTCGTTGAATTTGTCTTTCCAAGCCGCTCTATTCAACTACAAGTTTGCCAAATTTAGAGATCATTTGGCCTTGTAATTAATGTTTGAAGTTTTCAAGTATACTTCAAGTGTTTGATTTGGCCTGATCTAGATTTGGATTAGACCACTTTTTATATTATTGAGGTCGTCTCATTAAGTCATTCAATTTGACTATAAATTTGTTGAAATTAAAGTTTAAATGATAAATTGAATCCAATGGGTTTGATTGAACTTTGATTGGGATGGGGTAAGCCTAATAGGGATTGAGAATTAATTGTAATGATTGGTCTATCTTTAGACTAGTAATACTCTTCATGATCATGATCATGAGCTTACCCATAGAGTAAAAGTTTAAACATGGATATATATATAATAATTGCTTGGAGTCACTGATAATACCTTAAAAACTTTTAGCATTTTATAATTGAGGTAACATCTTCCCTTTTGAATTTTTAAGTTTGAATGTTCTGGGTTTGACCATAACAA